TCGTTCTCAGGTCGTCCGTCAGCGCCTCGACGCCCGAGTAGAGCTCGAGGAAGCCCGGTATCCCCGCTGGGGGGTGGATGACCTCGTCGTCCTCCTGTCCCGCCACCTCGATCTCCTGCTCGATCTCGCCAAAGACCTCCTCGGTCCTCATCTCCCAGACCCGGTGGTTCCCCTTGCTCATCTCCGCGCGGCACTCGCTCGAAGTGGCCTCCGTCTGGACGATGCCGTACCCCTCCTCGGAGGCGTCCGTCATGAACACCCTGGGGTACCAGCCGGCCTCGAGGTTGGAGGTAAAGTAAACCGAGAGGCTCGCCAGCGCCATCAGCTCGGACACCACGTCCTGGGGGAGCCTCAGGTTCACGTCCCACTCGTCGCCCATGTGCTCCTGCACCCACGAGTAGATCGCGCTGAGGATCGCGAAGCCAGACCGAGAGATCATAAGACACCAGGTCCACATCCCCAGCAAAGACGACAGACGCGATGGTGTGGTGCTCCCAGCTATCACGATGGCCTCCGTCGCCAAGACCAGCTCCTTCATCTTCTCGGGCTGTATCATGACGGTGTATGGCCGTCCTCGGATAGTCAGGCCCAGCCCCCTCTTCATCCCAGGCCCCCAATCCTCCTTGTGAACCTGCAGACCCTTCGCCTCGAGAGAGCCCTTGACGATGTCCTTGTCTATCTGGATGTCGCCGTCCTTCGCGTCCAGGATCCTGAACCCGATGTAGTCGTCGATGTAGAGCATCAGGATCAGCGAGGCCTTCTCGAAGGAGGGGGTCGGGCGCCCATACGCCAGCTCCGCCACCTCGTAGCCCTGCACGTCCCTGAGGCACTCGGTGAGGCAGGAGTGGGCCAAGAATACAGCCCAGGAATGACCCATCACGGGTGCGATGGCTCCAACACCCACGCTCGTCCCCAAGGGCTCCTCGATCGGCCTCCCCACTTCGCAGGAATACTTCCACAGTTCCCTCGGGGAGACGTCCTCCAGCACACAGAACTCCGCCAACTTGCTGTTCCATCTCAGCCTGTAAAACCAATCTGGAATGTCCCCCGCGAACGAGAAGAGCTCCTTCGTACCCAGCACGTCGGGGGACAAATCCAGTGAACTCAGCGCACTCGGTGGCACCAGTCCCGTCCACGGTGGCCTCCGAAACCTCAGGTTGAGACGCCGGCAGTCCCAGACGAGCCGCGATGACTCCACTCGGCCCTCGTCGTCCTGGCTCAGGTTCTTCACCACCGTGAACACGCCCACCCGCTCCTCGATGTGGTCGACGTACGTCAACATCCCCCCCTCCCACATGCGGAGGCTCAGCTCCAGACGGTTCTTCTTGTTCCTCCACCCTGGGTCGCAGTAGCTCGTCATCCCACGATACTTGTCCCAGTCGATCTCGTCGTCCGTCCTCAGCATGAGCCCCGCTACGTTCTCCGGGTAGGGGGTCGCGGCCGCCGACAGCTTCGATATGGGTAGGCCCCTGACGCCCCGTCGAGGGACAGACGCCTGCTCCGCCAAGAGGTCGCACAGGTCTCCCTTCTTCAGTCGTCCCGTTGTCCGCGCCGTCTGCCCGACACCGCCATAGTCCCTCATTCTTCCCGCGCCCAGGCGGCCGAGAACCGCCCTGCCATCGCTGATGCTCCCCCAGTCGGCTCTCAGCACCAACTTCGACCAGAGCTCGTTGATGATCGTCCTCTGTGTCGGCGTCGCGCTCGCCCAGGTGGATGGCGGGTGGGCGATCCTCAGCTCCTCCACTACCTTGCAGTGCCCTCGAGCCAAAGACCTTATCGCCGCCGTCGCCCTGGCAAGCCTCCGCCACGTCACCCTGCGTTCCCTCTCCGTCAAGTGGGGATCTCTCCCCACCATCGCCGCGTAGGGCGGCGTCGGGAGGTCTCGCAGTGGATCGCGCTGACGATCGCACGTAGCAGCCCCAGCCATCGGGGAACAACTGGACATGCAGTCCACGATGAGAGATGCCCACAGTCTGGTAGAGCTGCGCCCCGATATACAAGTGGACGAAGACCACCAGGACGCAACTGATCACACGTGCCGAGCCCCGCCCAACAGCGCGACAGTCCCAACCCCTCGTAGCCGTCGAAGACCTTCCAAGACTCTGGGCGATCAAGCTACACGGACTTATGCACTGTGTGCTGGCTTGGCAAGAGGTAGCCGTGAAACCTCCTGCCGCAACCTATTCGTCCGCATGGCCACGACCGCCTGCCTCGCCGAGTCCGCCGAGGTGCTTGCTGATCGCAGCCTTCCGCTTGAGACGCTCCGCCACCTCGTCGTCCGCCGCCAGCGCGCCAGGGCTGGTCTGCCTCGCCAAGTCCAGGAACTCCTCCGCGTAGGCCCAGTTCACCTTGGACTTCCACTTGCTGCCGTTCGCCGACTTCGGGCGTCGCCAATCCGCCTCCTGCTCCACGAGCTCGTAGGCCTTGAAGATCGAGTACAAGCGCAAGCACGTGAGCTCGGCCGCCTGCGAGTTGATCAGGGAGTCAAACTCGCCCGCCGACATCATCTTGTCCAAGACAGCCCCGAGCATGTACACCTCCGACGCGATGGAGCACTTGATGAGCTCCTTCTGCCTGAGCCAGTCATCGAGCTCGGCCCGAGCGCCCCGCCCTGACTTGTAGAGACGTGCAAGCACTGTCGGGGCGACCCGAGCCTGGACCCCCCCGACACGCCCTCCGTCCACCTCGCGGTAGGACTTGAGCGTGGCGAGCAGCCCCTCCTTCGGGTTGCGGGCCTCGATCTCGAGCTGCGCCACGGTGTCACGCACCCCCGCGGACCCCGCGGAGACCTTGTCCCAGCTCGTAGGTGTAGAAGAGGCCGACGTCGGCGCACTCCCCTTGGTGGCACGGCCCGAGTCCTCCGAGACCACACGCTCGTGCTCCTGCAGCTTCTTCAGGAAGGCGTCCACCTGGGTACCTGAGGGCTTCTCGGGCTGCTGCTCCTCGCTGTCGCTCTCGAAGTGGAGACGCCTCGGCGGCTTCTTCGGCGTAGAGGGCTCGTCCTGGCCGGCGCCCGTCTTGCCCGCCATCGCCTCGGCCAACGAGGCGACGCTCGCCTGGAGTGCCGACTGGCCCCTAGCCAGCTCTGCGTAGAGGTGCCGCGCATCAGGCTCGTCGTCCGAGTCGGGGACCTGGGTCCCCGCCACGTAGTCCGAATCCGAGGCCTCACTCTCCGTGTCAGAGTCTCCTGACCAGAGCTTGCGTCCGCCGTGGAACATCCAAAACAAGACGTAGGCGCCCGCCACCACGCAGCCCAGGGTAGTGAGGATCGTCTCGAGCTCGCCACTCTCTTACATCTCCTCGGCCATCTCGTAGTACTGCCCTGCCTCATGAGCCGCTTCACCTGCCGTGACGACCATGTCGTAGAAGGACTTGAGCGCCGAGCCCAGCCCTAGCGCCCGCCAGGCGCGCCAGCCCAGGAACCCCGCTGCCACGCAGAACCCGCCCGAGCGGCGGAGCCACACGAAGCTCACCAGGTTGATGGCGCCCCCGACAGCCCACCACACGAAGTGCTCCTTCTTCTTGCCAGTCCTCTTGGACTTCGGGGACGCCTTGGCCTTCGGGCTGGGCTTGTGCGCGGCCCCCTCGCCCTCGAGCTCCCGCCTCGCGATGAGCTTCTCCGAGGCCGCCAGCACGAGGTCGCGCGAGGCCGCGCTCAATCCAGGGTGCTCCGTCCACTGGATGCCGACCCTGGGTTTCGTGAAAACCCTGTCCTTGTCACGGACGTTGACGACCTGGACCCGTAGGGTGGGGTCCGCACACGTCCAGAGAGTGCTGTTCGATTTCCCGATCTTGCTGATCAGCAGCATGACGCTGCCGCTGCTGCTGCCCGTCTTGAGGTAGATGCGGTTCCACCTCGCCCACGGCGCCATGACGACCGACGCCTTCGTCCCGACGATGATCACCTGCCCCGCGGCGTCCTCGTAGTCCGTGCCGTCGCCCTCGTCCAGCTCGTCCGCCTCCGCGAACCCGAAGAGAGGACGGCCCTCCTCCGCGAGGTCAGGCCCGATCCAGCCCGCCGCGCAGGCCGCGATGTACCACCACGCCCTCGTGGTGACGAGGGTCTGGGCCCTCCGCTGGGGATGGCCAGGCCGTCAGGCGCCGCCCGACACGTGCAATCTGCCAAAAAGGAGACGGCTCTGCCCACGGGTCCGCTGGGACCCCAAGCTTCTAGAGCCGAAATCTTGAGGACGGCAGAGCCGAGTGAAGACACAAAAGAGGACGGCACGAGGGGAGGGGAACAATCAGTATAAAAGAGCGTTATAATAACATTTATTCAGAAGGCTGCATCGCCGCAGTCGTGCACCGCTGGTGCATTGAAATCCATATGCTGCTCAGCGCTTTCTGAATACAGCCAGTTGTTGCACGTGTCCATCTGGTGCATTCAAGCGCTGGCTGGTGTACAGGTGTTCGGCGATATGTATCGTGTTAAGAACCCGGCTGTGATTGAGTCCTCGCCACATGAGTTTACGTTGTCATGCAATTCTGAACGCAAGTCTCATGCTTGAGCCTGCTCTGTGATAGCACGCGGGACGTTGGCTTCTCCATCGTCCTGTGTCAGAATTGTGCTTCTCTCCATTGCGTAGTTCTCGCTTTCATATTCTTCGGATTCTTTGGCCTCATTCGCCCTGTCCCGTCTCCTCTTCCTTTTCGTCCATGTTCTCATGTTGTTACCTCATCGTTGCCCCTTCTCTCGCTCTCCTTGTGCTCCGTGTCCACATTCCCCTGTTCCTCATGGCCCTCTTGTACTTGCTCTTCCTCGTCTTCCTCCCCGCCATTGTCCCCTTCCTCCCCCGTGCTCCCCCATCCTTCCTCCTCCTCTGTGGGCCAGCCCCACTCCCACCCCAGCCCACGCGCCAAGGCGCTCCTCCTCGCCGTGATCCTACTCCCCGTCCTCCCCCTGCTCCACCATCCCCTCCCCCCCCCCACCCCCTGTGTGGGCCAGCCCCGCTCCCGCCCCATCCCGCGCGGCAGGCGCCAGCCCACCCCCCGCTGCAGCCATGGAGACCGTCGGCCTGATGGTGCCCGCGGACCAGATCGCGAAGGTGATCGGCAAG